GAATTTTTTGGGTAAAAATCTTAAAACATGACATTTACGAAAGCGTCATAAATGTTTGAAAATGATTGTGTGCGTTCAAAATATGGTTAAAATTGTGATATTTGGCTTAACATTTGCAAATTAAAGGTGGTTAAAAATAAGACATTATTGTAATGACCAATAGAAGATAATGTGCCATGTTTTCCCGTTATTATGTCCGTCTCGTTCAAATATGAAATTTATCTAATTTTTTGTTATTCAATTGACTTTCCATGATTATTCGCAATGCTACAATAAAATTTTTTTTATTGCTAAATAGTCATTTTTTAATCCAAAATAAAAAAAGAGGAGAAAATGATGGGTAAAAGCAACTGACTTATTATATGTGTAGATAATAATACATGTTATACATATTTAAATTAATTTTATGTTGATAATTAATTTAAATTGGCTATTGAATTAATCAATTAGTAAACGAGTTATCGATTATTCTCTGGAGATGATTCATTATCTATCTTATCATTTCGGATAGATGCTACATGCTAGATTTTTTTTATATTATGATTTATGCAATTTTAATGAAAAAAATATGCATACAAATTTATTATAAGTATTTTAATATAGAAATAATATCAATAGGGTACAATAGTAAATATACCCTCAAAATTGCATAAATAAGCCCCCAAACACCTTCAAAAATAGCCTCAAAACGGACCCAACACCTACCAAAAGCCCTCAAAATCGAGTCCCGAATCGTTACCAATAGCCCCCAAAACCCTTACAGAGCAACCCTTTTGGATAGCCTATTTAAACAACCAAAGCAGCCCCAAAAATACCCCAAAACCAGATTCAAAACCACCCAAAAAATCTCACAAAAACGAGACACAATACATCTCTCAAAACGACCAATTGAATACTTTTTGGAGTTACTACAAAGGAAGAAATAAAAATTATTATTAGAAAAAAAAGACTAAAAATATTTTTGTTTGTTGGATTGTTGGCGACCATAACATGATATTGTAGGTTGCATTTGGTTGAGTCTTTCTACAAGTAAAATAAGCAACAAAAGCTACCTTGGGCTTAAGGAACTTTGCAAATTTTACGAGTAACTTTGGAGTGTTCACTCGAGTAACGGAGTAGTTTTTGGCCACTTTAGCAACTCGCACATCTCACATTCTTAACCAACGGTTACCCTCTCTTTACGGGTAATCGAATATTCGATTATCATTGGGAACAAAAAGGGTAGGATCGACTACGAATCTAAAGTCGACACTTTCGAACTTTTTAAGTAAAAATCTTAAAACATGACATTTACGAAAGCGTCATAAATGTTTGAAAATGATCGTGTGCGTTCGGAATGTGGTTAAAATTGTGTTATTTTGCTAAACATTTGCAAATTAAAGGTGATTAAAATTAAGACATTATTGCAATGACCAATAAAAGACAATGTGTCATGTTTTCCTGTTATTATGCATTTTTGTCCAAATATGAAATTTGTCTAATTTTTTGTGATTCAATTGACTTTCCATGATTGTTCGCAATGCTATAATAAACACTTTTTTTTTTTTGGATTGCTAAATAGTCATTTTTTAATCCAAAATAAAAAAAGGGAGAAAATGATGGGTAAAAGCAACTAACTTATTATATGTGTAGATAATAATACATGTTATACATATTTAAATTAATTTTATATTGATAATTAATTTAAATTGGCTATTGAATTAATTAATTAGTAAACGAGTTATTGATTATTCTCTAGAGACGATTCATTATCCATCTTATCATTTCATATAGTACTACATGCTAGATTTTTTATTTATTATTATTATGATTTGTGCAATTTTAATGAAAAAAATATGCATACAAATTTATTATAAATATTTAAATATAGAAATAATATCAATAAGGGTATAATAGTAAATATATAATAATACATTTTCTTTCCTCTCTCTTTTTACAATTATCCAAACAAGGAAAGTATATTTTCTTTCCTTTTATTTCTACTCTTATCCAAACAATAAGTGAAAAATAGTTTTTTTCCTCTTACTTTCTTTCCTTTCTTTTCTTTCCTCCTAAGAGGAAATATCTAAACAATAGGTTAAAGTTGAGCGACTCATCATCCTTTTTTTTTTTTTTAGAAGTTGTTGGCCGCGTGTGTCCAACTCATGCATGCACAAACCCGGTTCTCTAGGCCCGAGTGCATATGATCGGCTTCTTCTTCTTCTTCTTTTTTCTTTAATTATTATTTTATTATTTAATTTTATGAGAAATTTACAGGAAGCTTATCATTATTTTTTTGGATTTTTCACGTAAACTAATTAAAAAAACAATTTTATATTAATTTAAACTAAAAATTTATTTCAAATTATATTACTCTTATTATTTAATTCTTTTTCAATTTATTATTTCTCACAAAAATTCTCATCCAATTAATTTTTTATTTTTATTTTTATAAAATTTTATTTGTTAATAAATAAAATTTATTTTTCTTCTTGTCTAGATTTTGGAATAAAATATTTACGAACATGATTATTTTCTTTTTTTAAATAAATTAATATAATTTATTTGATGAATTTTCATAATTTTTAAATGAGAGTAGTATGATTTTATATATATAATTTAAAAGCTGGAGTGGATTGTAGATAATTTTTCTCGCTTTTTTTTAAAAAAATAATTTTTAAAACAACTAATGAATAACTAAAAGTAAAAAGTGAATAATAAAAAAAAAGAGAATTAATTGTTCTACGTTGGAGGATAAGGCATGTATGGTTTGGAATAGATTTTTTTTTTTTTTTTTTTTAAGATCGAGAAAAAATGAAATTCATTTTTTTATTTACTTCTTCTTTATATAATTAAAATTTACCAAAATCAATTTTATAGTGTTTTTTGTTTGACTCTACTAACTTCAAATTTCTTCAATATATTTTCTACAAGTTAAGTATATTGTTTTTAATATTTTTCAATTTATGGTTTAGACTCCGAACCCATTCGATATAATCATGGTGTATATATATAAATTGAATAATTAGTTTTGTGAGAAATTAATTATGTATTTTCACATAAAAAACCAATCATTATTTATTTATTTAATTAATTTTTTGATATATATATAAACTGAATAATTAGTTTTGTGAGAAATTAATTATGCATTTTCACATAAAACACCAACTATTAATTAATTAATTAATTAATTTTTGTATATACTAAAATCAAAATTTCTTCAATAAATAATTAAAATAATGTTTTATAAAAACCACTCTATGATACCATACTCTTCAAAGAGTTTTTTTTTATACTAATATTATCGATTATTTTGTGAATAAAATAAAAACCTATTATACATCATTTCAAAAAATAATCTTCTCATCAATATGAAAGAATAATAATTTTTTCATCTTTTAATTTTGTTACAATTTTTAAAACTAATTGTTTTTATTTTTTTTCGATACAATCTTATGAAAAAAAAATATCAAGATATTTTTTGTTAAATTTTCTCTTTAAATTGTTACAAATTTTTGTTTAAAAATCAATGCATGAATAAGAACAAATCATGCCTTTTTAGTAGAAAATTTGTGAAAAATATAAGAAAAAAATAATTAAATATAAAATTTTGATTAAACATCATAAAATTGGGAAAAAAATATTTTTATAATTAATTAAATAATTTAATGAATCTACAATATGATCAGGCCATCAAATTAAAATGATTTTTTGAACAATTTTATTTATTTATCCGAATTGTAATATAGCTCGAGCAACAAACCAATCTTACCGTAAAAAAGAGTAAAGGCTAAAGGATATCTTTAGGCCACACAAGGGAGCGCAGAGGCTCATTGGATCTTGTGTGGGCTTTTTCATTGTTTGCATCTTAATTTCAATTGAGCCCATCTACTCATAGCCTCTTCCTTCTGTGAAGTTTTGATATGCCTATAGAGGTGTTTTTTCCAAAGGAGAATTTTTTGGGGCAGCCGCCCCTGTCTCTGGGCCGTCTATCGCCTATATACATTGGGAAATCTACTAGCATGTGTTACGTTCTCCATAAACGACTACGACGGGAAGTTACAAACAGGAGGAGAATTATTCGGTTAAAATCAAAAAATTAAATCGAATCAAATTGAATTAGTAATTTTTATTTGATTTTATAAAAAAATTTAGAAAAACCTAAATTATTTAGGTTTGTTTCAGGTTTTTTTAAAAAAATTTAATTTTCACCGAAAACCGAATTATTATTTTTTTTTTAAACACCTGCCCAAGGTTCATAGCATTTTCCCATAATTTTCTTTATTAAAAATTCAATTCAATTTATTAGAATTTCTTGAAAATCAGAAAAAAAATTGTAAAAAAGTGATATTTCAACTTGGTTCAAGATAAAATTCAAAATTTAGAAGAAAAATACAAAAAAAAAAAAAACTGATTTTTAGCCTAAAAACAAAAAACCAAATAAAAAAATTTTGTTTTTTAACAGAAAATCAAACTTTAATTTAATTCGGTTTTAGTTTTTGTTTTAATTAATTCGATTAACCAAAAAAAAAAAACCAAAATTAAATGGAAAAATCAAATGATCACTGCTTTGCAAGGGAGGTAGCTGCCCCTAGCGCCAGCCTTTTGTAAATGGTAGGCTTCGATCATCTCTATTTTTTTCTGAAAAAAGCCGTAAAATTGACGTATACTTCCATCAGTCTTTACGTTTTTTGAATTCTTTTACAACTCTATAGCTTAAATTGACTTGTTCGGTAGTTAAGTTTGCATTTTGTCGAGAGTCTAAGGAAAAAGTTCAAAAGCATTGGCTTAGAAATGTTTTTTCCAGATTAAGATGGCAACAAAATGCCTCGAAATAGTTTCAAAATATTAAATATTAAAAAAATCATAATAAACGATAAGATGTTCAAAATATCTAATTTAACGAACTATACTGCATGTTTGGAACATAAAATTACGTCACAATCTTATTTTGAGTATGTAATTGAACTCTCTTTTTTTTTTTAACACGAGTCACTAAAAAAACCCCCAGTGGTGGAACAATGCCAAATCAAAAGGTTGCATGTGGCATACAATAGCACACATTTTTTCTTCTGCTGATCACACAGGACCTATGAGTCCTACCAAATTACAGGAGCCAAATGCATGAGATTAGTTTGTTGTTTGAAGTGTGATTCAAGCCTTCCAGATTTTAAGCCTGTCAATATGCTTACCTCTCATACTTAAAACATATAATGAAAAACTCTTCCCGTATAATTTCCAGGGCACATCGAGCCTTCCAAACAATTAGAATATGGTCTCGTTGGAAATGGCAGCACATTGGTTTCACTAAGCTTAGGAATGTGCTCTGCAGCCAGTAGAATCAGTACGTCTATAGACGCTTGAGCCTGATCCAGAACGCTTTGAGGGTTACAAACTGGATCCGGATAGAACGCTTTCCAGGGGTGATGAACCAGATAATAAACACGACTTCGATGCAGGCAGCAAGCCCTATGACCTAGGCCTTAAGGTGGTTGTGATTCGCTTGATGGTGATGGCCCTCCTCCGTGTCCGTATCCTCCAAGTTCATCACCAGCAAGGAATTGTGGCGTTAGCAACCCACACGGCGTGAAGTTTGGGGAAGACGGTGGAAGTTGTGGCGTTATAACTGGTGTTCTTATCACCGAACTCACTAATGCAATCCAACATCATACCAGTGCGATTGAGGGCATTGATATTTCTCAGTTTCTCAATCCTTTAGAAAAAGGGACTGGCTTGATAGTGATGATGACATGCCCTAGAGCCAAGCCTAGCTATCCATGGTCATGTCCCTAACGAACAAGGTTATGTAGCATGTGAACTTTAAGACAATAAGACAGCCATCTATGCATGCTGTCTCCAACTCCCCATGTAAGATATAGCCTTAACAGACCTTCAGAGTCAGCTTCAATAAAAAGTGCATGAATTTGAAAAACTGATGCCAGAAAACTCCATGAATGATTCAAAGATGGATACTTGATATATACTTGGATGGCGTCTGAATCAATCCAGCATCCAACTACCCTCCAACTTGGTTACACAATCACATTCATACATTCAAGTTCAATCTGCCATAGCATATTTCTATCGGTATAAATTACCTTCAGTGAAGTAAAATGCTTTATCTTTTAGAATTGGAAATAGGAGAACAGAATGCTTGTACTTTGAAAAGTACTACCACCTGAAAAATTGTGAGAGCTAGAGTCGCTTGGCCAATTAGGCCACCAAGGGGCCCTTTAAGCCCTCAAATTAACCAACTCTAATGAGATTTTGTGCAAAAATGCTGTCAGGTTAAACTATTTAGTTTTTATTTATCACCGGACAAGATTTTAGCATCACCCTTCTTTAATAGTTTGATCTCTGTGGATGGAAATTGAACTTAGAAACTACTCAAACTCTGAGAGCCTCATTCTTCTAGTTCATTTGTATTTATGATAACAACAGGATTGTAACCCTCAATACAATGGCTTAGACTTACGGTAGCATTTAATACTAGACGCAAAGATGGCGGTAAAAGGACACAGATAATATATGAAAAGGAAATGCATGAATTTTGAAATCGAAATTGAAAAATGATTTGAGTTTCTATATAGCCTTCTTTAGTCCTGCATATCGATCCATGTGTTGATTGAACCCAATAAAGTCGCTGATAGAAAATGGTGCAGTTTCACCAAGTAAATATCTGCTTACATGAGCACCATGATTCTCAATTTCAAGAACTAATTGCAAACCATCTTCTTTCTTGCAAATTTTACTCAACCAACACCATTTTAAAAGCCTTTTTACCCTCAAACAAGAAAACCATGCAACATTCATGCATGTTCAAACTTTCCAACATAAATAAGCAGCCTCCATGCATGCAAAGAACCATTCAAAGCATAGGAACTATCCAAAAAATGGCAGTGTCTAAATCCGTATGCCTAGCCTTCTTGATTGTACTTCCAGGATTTCGACTCAGTTCTGTTCTGCCCATAGTATACTCAATGAGGACGACCAGAAGAATCAAGGAAATGGTATAGGAGGAGGAGGAGTAGGTGGAAGTGGCAGTAGTTTGCCTAGTATTACTGGTGGAGATATAATTGTGGGTTGTGTTAGTTGACCTAGTGTTGGGGTCATTAGTGGCAGCAATAGTAATGCTGGTAGTTTGCCAGGAGTAGGTGGTCCTCGTGCTGGAAGTGGAAGTGGCTGCGGTAGCAGTTATGGAAGTGGTAGTGGTGGTGCTTGCGGTGGAAGTGGCGGCAGTTGCAATGGTAGAAATAGTGTTGGTAGTTTGCCTGGATTTAGAGGACCTCATGCTGGCGATGAAAGCGGTGGTGGTGTAAGTGCCAGCAGTGTTTCTGGTGTTGGAACTGGTGGAGGCATTCATATTAGTGGTGGTATTGGTGGAGGACTAAATGGTGACAGAATTGGGAACAGTGAAGGTAGTGGAAAAGCTAGCAGCACCTATCTTGCTAATGCTGGTGGTAACGCTAACGCATTGATTTCTCTCGATCATAGAGTAAAGAGAGCTCGCATGACGGTGATGATCACATGCACTAGAACCAGAATCAAGCTATGTTTATGCCCCTCCTGAACATAGATTATATCATCTATGTATGAGAAGTTATGAACTTTCAACTATGTAAATTAGGCACCTGGGGCAAGTATGTTTGCAGTCTCTATACGAAATGACCTCAATAACAGCTTCAGTCAGAGTCAATTGAAAGTGACTTAATCAAGGTTTCCATGATGGTATATACGTTTGAATACACAATACTGTATGGAGTCCATACTAGTAGTTACATAATCTACCGGCCACGGTTTGCAAGCCTCAACTTGTGGCAGTGAATTAACACTGTTCACAAGTTCGAAGCATTGCTCTCTGGAGTCCGGACTGTTCATTGTTGACAGTGCATGATACATGATTTACAGGGGATTGAGAATTAATCTAGCATGGGACTTTTCTCCATTTTTTTTGTACGTTGGCAGTTCAATCTGCCTAATCTACTTCATTTTTCTTCTATAAACGACCCAAGTGAAGTAGGATGCTCTAGCAGACTTTGAAATTGAAAATAGAAAGTGGAATGTTCTTACTTAGAAATGAGTAAGAGTAGGCAAGCTTTACCGATTTGTCTGAAAAAAGAAAATATCATATTAGGCCTAACTTGATCGTTTCACCATCTGAAATTCTGAACATCCATCTCAAATCGGTTGTAAATGCTCAATTACTTTGGTTCCAGGAATCAACTTCTAAAGTACATTGACCACCAGCTGGCTTTATCATGAATTTTGAGTCAAACTGCTTCCTATGATCAAACTAGCTTTTTTTGTAATTCACTTTAGACCACTGCTTGAATCAAATAGCAGTTTTGTCGTTTAAGAGTTAGGAGAGTTGGAGTGTGTAAGCTCTTCATTCTCTTCTATTGGCCAATGGCTCGTTAACATTTTTTATTCAATTACAATCGTAAGGCAAAAATTTAATTTCACATCAAATAACATACCACGGTTATGTAGCCTCCTTTACTCCTGCATGTTTATCCATCTTGAGATTGCATACAACAAACTCGCTGATTGAAAATGGTACAGTTTCAATAACAGCTAGTAATCTGCTCACACGAGCACCATGATTCCCAATTTCAAGAACCAAGTTGCAGAAAACTGTCTTTTTTCTTGCAATCTTACTCAACCAATACCATGCTTGAAGCCTTTTTACCCTCAAACAAGAAAACCATGCACCATACACTGTCAATTTCACAATATAAATTAAGCAGTTTGCCTCCATGCCTGCTAAAAGCCATTGGAAGCATGAAAAAATAACCCAAAAGATGGCAGTGCCTAACTGCCTTTGCTTAGCCTTCTTGATTCTAATTCTAGGATTTGGACTCATTTCTGCCAATAGGGTTCTCACTGACAAGGATCAAGGATCCTACAAGCCTGATAACCTGGAGTTTGGACAAACATGGTCATGGGGAGGTGGTGACAATTTTGGCATTGGACAAGGGAGTGGGAACCTTGGTTTTGATATTGGCCTTGGTAATCGTGCAGGAGGGGGAGGAGGAGTTGTTGGGAGAGGTGACATTGGCGGTGGTATTAGCTGGCCAAGTTTTGGGGCAGGGGGTAGAATGGGAGGTGGTTTTAGTTGGCCTAGTGTTGGTGGTAACAGAGGCAGTGATGGTCATATGGATAGTTTGCCTGGAGTTAGTGGATCTGGTGCTGGCAGTGGAAGTGGCAGCAGTTACAGTAATGGTGTTGGTGGTGGAACTAACCCTGATTTAGGAACTGGAGGTGCAAGTGGCAATAGTGGTGGAAGTGGTGGTATTGGAGGACTGGGTGCTGACAGTGGTGGTAGAAATGGCGGCAGCAATGGTAGTGGTAATGGGGGTATTTGTGGAGGACTTGGTGCAGGTAATGATGGCAGAACTGGTAATAGTGGTGCCTTTGGCAGTGGAACTGGTCCTGCACCTAGTAACGGAAATGGGCACAATGAAAGAGGTGGTGGGCCTACTATTGGTGGTGGTGGGCCTAGCATTGGCAGTGGTGGTGGAAGTGGCAGCAATGATAATACCATCCCTGCTTTAGGATCTATTGGTCAGGCTCTATATTGCACGCCAGCAAATTGCCCAAACAGTGGTGCTTGTGGAGGAATTGGTGTATAATTTGATTATCATTTCAATTAGCCGAAGGCCACCAAAGCAACTGACAGCCATGATAGCCAACATAATAGTATCCATGGATTCACACACGTGGATAAAAATCAGGATGAAAAGAAAAATATTCACCAACAAGAGGACATTCTGCCAGTGGACTAACTGGCTAAGGTCACAAGGCTGGTTTCCTCAGCATAGAAAATTCTGTTTGTCAGTGTAAGCTCACCTGATGGAATCAACATGTCCGCATTAATAAGGCATTTGTGTTTCAGCTTTAACAGTGCTTATTCAATAGATGAAAGTGCAATGTTTAAGTATTCCTATAAATTATTTCTTGTTTGAAAAAAGAATGCAATGGAAGAAGAGAAAAAGGAAACCTGGCAACTTCATGCTTGTGAAAAGATTTGCGAGTTGTTAAGTAAAATTCATCACTTGATATAAGCAACTGTACAACCAAAATTCACTGGACTTTCTGGTTCATATTTGGCAACACGTGGATGCTTACCTAGTACCTCCAGTGCGCAATCCTTAACAGCTCCAGTGCCCATGCCATGCACAACAAAAATAACTGAGAGCGGCTCTCTTGTAGTTATGGCCATGTTGAGGTGGAGAGCAGCTTCTTCCACTCGCATGCCTCGTAGATCCACGGTGTTCTTCGATGTCTGCACTCGTGGGCCATAAGAAACCTCCTCATCTTTGTGCTCAGGTAAACTCTGCTTTACCTATAATTCACACCAGTATGATAAGAACAACTAGCTTCAGGAGTTCCCAATGACACAGAAGCAAAGATAGATAGGAATGCCTGCTGTATCTTAAACCAGTGAAACTTCAGCAGAGCAGTGTACCATTCGTACCTGTCTCTTCAAACTTGGGACCAAAATGGTTGCTTTGCTTCTTCTATCACTTTTAATTGCTCTAACGTCACTTTTCTTCACTCGAACTCGTATTTTACCATATTGGACTAAGACTGTCTCATCATCATCTGGTGCTTCAACTATGGTAGCTAACTTGTTTCCAAGTCTCTCTACAAGAACTTGCTCCCCAAGTTGTGGGGTATATGAGCTCGGAACTGTTTCACTGGCAGATAGACTGTCACTTGAACAGTGAGCTTCAACAATAGATGCAATTGAAGATTCTGACTTCTTAATCAGTGAATTAAACTGATCTGGACTGGCTTTTCTGAGCTGATTTTCAAAGTTCTGCACCACAGTTTCTATCTGCGCGTTTGCAGCCTTTAGTTCAAGTTGGACCTGTTGAGTTTCTTTTGCCATGAGAGCTTTTACACGCCCATCAAGGTCTTCAGCTTCAGCTTGAATCTTGATAAGGGGAATTGGAATGGGATGGGGAAAGAAACAATAACATCAATAAGCAAAGTTTAATGAAAAACAGAGAGAGAGCACATGCAACGGGAAGCAAAATCAGAGGAGAGAACAAAATCAGAAGCTGTTGTGCTCTTCTAGATCTTCTAAATTCTACCTCACGGTAAAGCTCCATAATTTCTCTATGAAGGGATGCAGCTCTCCTGGCCTGAGCTTCCAATCTGTTTCTTTCCTCCAACAATGATTGATACAGCATGCCACTTCGCTCCTGCTGCTTTTCAGGCACTAACTTCTCCACCCACTTCTGTGCATGTTCAATTATATTACTGTCAAAACCAATTGATTTAGCAATGCTTAGTGCATTTGAATCACCAGTACTCCCCCAGAGAATCTGATACGTAGGTTGTAATGTTTCAAGAGAAAATTCCATGGCTGCATTCTCAAATCGGCTATCCATATCTTTCAGGCGACTTAAATCAGCATAATGAGTTGTCACAACAGCTAAGTTAACATGATCTTTCAGATATTGCAAGATACCGGTTGAAAGAGCCACTCCTTCAGAAGGATCAGTTCCACTACAAATTTCATCAATGAGGACAAGTGATTCATTTGTAGCCACTTCCAAGATCTTACAAATCCGCGATATGTGCCCACTAAAAGTTGAGAGATTTTGTTCCAGAGACTTCGATAATGAACACGATAATCAGAATTAAATAAACCAATCAAAAGAACTCAGTACATACCTCCCATAAAACAAGAGTAACTTTTACCTGGTGGTCCCCAATATCTGCTAGAACAAAATCAAACCATGGAAGCTTTGGGGTGCTCTTAGCAGGCAAATATAACCCAGCCTTTGACATGAGAGATGCCACACCTAGAGTTTTCATTGAAGCAGTTTTCCCTCCAGTGTTTGGTCCTGATATCACAACCACTCTGGTTCCACGTTCCACTTTAATGTTTATTGGCACAGGAAATTCAGATGCATTTTTGGAAGATTTTCCAGTATCCATTATGATATTTTCCTCATCCACTTCTGTGGAGTTCCAAGACTTGGATCCAAGAATATTGGAAAGACTTCTTCTAGATGTCCCGAGGAGCAATGGATGCTGTATACCTTCAATATCTATTGATAACAAATAACCTCCTCCACCAGAAGAAATGCCTCCACAGTCCTCTGAAGTCCACATTGGACAGACCCCATTCGTCCAGTGAGCATAAGCAGCTCTAGCTAAAGCAAGATCAACTTCTAGAATTCCATCCAACAAATGTTTTATGTCCCCTGCTGATTCTGCTATTTCAGATGTAAGCAAGCTCAAAATGGCTATTTCCTCAGCTTTCTCAGAGTTTGAAAGCATGACTTCCAAGTTATTCAATTCAACTGCCTCACTGGGCTCCATAAAGTATGTTGCACCAGAACTACTAACATTTAGAACCACACCATCTGGAATCAAATATCTGTGAGAAGCCCTGACTCCCACACACAACCTGGAGCGACGCTTTGTTACCAGAGGTCTGTCGATGCCCCCAGCTTGAAAAATCCGAGTTGATATTCCCTTCAACAGCCTATTCAGATTTTCCATGTTTCTCTTCCTTTCAGACCTAATGATCTCCAAATCTTCACTAGCTCTATCAAGGATTATTGAAAGATTGCAGTCTATGCAAAATCCAATTTTCTGCTCCAGCTCTATTTGGAAACTGCAATTCTGAAGTATTCCAAGCAGTGGGGCATACCTATTCAAATAAAACAAGATCAATGAGATCTTATCCAATAAAACCTTGCCATAGAGTGGAATTCAATGCTTGAAGGTTACATTTCAAGTTCTATTAAAGGTAAAAAATGTAATATGGACCCTCATTACAGTACCTTGAAATAAATATTCTTTTTGGGCCCTTAATGAGATATGAGAATCCAGCAATAGCATATGATTTATGCCTGTCTCTCTCCAAATATCGACCTATTGAAAGAAGTATCAGATATTTCTTACACATAAAACAAGTTCACATCAAGCCCTTCAAAGCTTTTTAGACGCCTTGAAAAGAATAAATGATCCTATGTATCATCCTGAATAGGTTGAACACAATATCTGAAAGTAAATCAACGTCATAATTTATTCCCTAAACCATTCTTTTAATTTAGTGGTCCATGTTTATCCAAAACTTACTTGAAGTCTTCTACATGTTCTTTCAAAATACTTTAGAAGACCCACATCTTCCTCCAAAGCACAAACCAAAGGGTCTACGATAAAATACTCAAGTGCACCAACTTCTACATATGCAAAAACATGTGTTTGTTGTGAAATTATCGACCAAAAAACCACAAAACTATTCCAAGACTATAGACCTTCATAATTTACATCATCACATCGATCAAATAGTAAACCGCAACCGCTAAAAAAACACAAATCACAGTCCGTTTCATACTCCAAAATGTTCCAACTAGAGAGCCACTAAACAAGGTCGTCCATGCCCTTCATGCAGTGCGTCCCACGCGTGCATGAATGACGCACACGGCTTAGATTTGGTGCAGTCAACCCACTGCCCTTAGAATTTTTCTTGTAACTAACACATTTACTGATAAAAGCTTTTTGGCATAAAAGTCTATCATTAGCCTTCGCCTAACAACTTGAACTTTCAAGATAAGTGTTAATTGACAATAATAAAATGGCAATCAAACAATTCAAAAGCCAATTATACCTTTCCAAGCAGTCTCCAGCATCTTTTAGCCTCTCCAAAACAGCTCTTGCAGCTCTCAACGTCCGTCTCACAGCACATAATTCCCCAACCGTAAGCAAAGTCCCAGAAACCGCAGAATCCAAAATCCGCGTTATATCCTCAACCCCTGAAAAATCCAACGGTCCAGATTCCATCACAGCCAATGCAGCTGCAGTCTGGTCTAGAAGTTTCTGGCTATCTTCTTTGCTTTTACCAATTGGGATATTTGCGTTTCGAGTGATCGATTGGGCCATTGAGGTTGATGTGAAGGGAGTGAGTTGGTTGCAGAGGGAACTCCATTCTAGGGTTTTTAGGGTTTCGAGTTGGAGTGAATGAGCTGGAACAGTGAGTTTTGGTGAGTGTGAATTGGGCGAGTTGGAATGAAAGGGTTTTGATAGGGTTTTGGTTAAGGGTTTGGTGGTGAAGAGAATTGGTGCTTTTTTTATGGATATGAAGTGATTGGAGAGTTCCATTAATGATGGATTTCTGAGATTCGAATTTTAGCAGAGTTTTACGTTGTTGAGGGAGGGAAGCTGTTTGGTTTGTATCTGATCCATTACAGTTTCAGTTTCTTAACAGAAACTAACGGCAGCAAGGACTGATGATGACGTGGCATAGCTGAGACGTCGTATCCTTAATAACGACATGTCGTATCATTTCTGTTTCCAAATTTTTTATTTTTTTTGAAGTTTCATCCGCATCCTTAAAAAAAATAATAATAATAAGAAAGTTATCCGTTTATTTATTTATTTTTCAAGGAAGCGTTATTTAATTTTTTTAACCTCTTTCTTTTTATGACTTGAATACCTACCACACTATTCTATTTCCACAAATGCTGTCAGAGAAATTTATGAAGAAAAAAAATTAAAGAAAAACTCGTAGGATATGATTAAAACTCTAGTGCTCCAAGAATATCCATAAAAAAAAAAATTGAATTCAACATTTATGTTTTTTTTTTTTTTTGTATCTCTTTTTTATGGATTATGTATTGTTAGTTACTCCACTAAACTTTCTCTAAAATTTCTCCAAACTAATTGACGAGGACGACGGCAGTGGGGAACAGCAATATAATTTAGCATTATTCACATTCCTTCGTAGCAAGTTGTAGACAAGAGTATTCACATCCAAGCACAGAAGTTCAGTGTCTGATATTGCTGATGAGATTGGATTACAAATTGCACCCAGCAGCTAGCGAGACACCTTGGCAAAACCTGAATGAACGATGAACAAGATTTTGAAGGGATTAGCAGCCAAGGCAATTCAAAATTGAAACCTCAAATATGAAAAAGGCCTGGAAAGTAACAATTTGGAAATTGGTTGCTGGGCTTACAGTTCTAACTCATATCCCATTATCCAGCTAGGATAGGAGAACCACAAGCGGCAGAAGCATGCTTTCCCTCTTCATAGACCAGGTTTCCTCTGACAAATGTTGCCAAAACTTTTCCAGAAAGTTTGCTTCCCATATAGGCTGAGATACTCTGTGTACAGCGTGAATGGGATCAGTGGTTTCATCAATCGATTACTTTTACCACGGTGATTGGGCAAAGTTCATTAGATCATTGACAATTGGGCATGCAAACTTCCAATTGCAATCAATCACTTAGAATTATCCCATTGATGACCAGCACGTGAACACAATTTTACTAACAATTGCAATCCAATATTCTCTCAAAATGACCAGAAAAAAGGAAAGGAGTTGATAATTAAAACAAGCAAAACTAGTTCGATGTATCAGAAACAAGAGGTGGAGAAGTCAGAAGGCATACAGGATGTTTAAGATATACAGGAAGATCATTGTTGAGCTCAAACTCCACATTTGGCTCCCATACGGCAATGTCTGCATGGTTTCCTACTGCAATAGCCCCCTGTGAAATGAAGTTCAGCTTCAAGTGATATTGATGTAAACAACATTACGATCTTTCTCGTGCAGTCATGTGTTTACTCTGGTCTTTTTTCTTATTTTTCTTGCCATGTCATCTGCCATTCTTAAATTGTAGGAAACAGAGAAGCAAGTAATTTTTTACCTTCAGACCTTGCCCAGCAAGCTTGGCAGGCCTTTCACTCCACCACATTGCCAGCTGTTCCAAAGTTACACCATATTTCCGCCCATGTGACCATGTCACAGGAAGAACAAACTGCAGATGCTCTCAAGAAAATTGCCTATGAGTTTCTTAAATGATAGTAAAATAGCAAACATATCAATGATAGATAACAATTTCTTGTTAGTTTGCATGAGTTAAATTATGATCCTAACAATTGACATGGTTTTTTTCCGCTTTTTCGGCTGATGGTTACTGTGAGTGTTTAAGGCGCTGTCTGCTCAGGCGAGAAATTGTCTGAAGCTATAAGAAAATCTTTCGCTTCACAGGCACTAGAAGAAGTTATTGCCCAACAAGAGATGATAGGACCTGTAGATGTGTGTATGTGGAAGAGGTTAGCTCTTTTTCATGCAGCAGAATTCAAACAAAGCCAGCTGCCATATTTTAATCTTATTTTTTCATATTTGCCTTCAATTCAATCTAAAATGTCATTCGCAATGAAATGTTCATGATGATTTGAATGTTCTTATGGACAAAAATGTGTATGCGGAGTGAGCAAAAATAGAACAGTTATGTGAGTTTGATAGCATCTGGAGGATGTTACCATCAGAGCTCAACATACATTGGCATGGAAGAAACAGAACAGTTATATGAGTTGGTAATAAAAGAATGACCGACCTGCAAAGAAGATATGCCACCCCAAGCCCTTAAAAAGTTACCTTCGTCAGGGAGTTTAAGCTCTGGAACTGATGGTGAATGATCAGAACTTAGCATGTCGATATCACCATCCTGGAATAGAATTCAAATCATGTATAGACAAGTGATGCGAACAGAAAACACAACATATCATCCTGAAATCTGCAAATACCATTAGAGCCGTCCATAATGTTTCTTTATTAGCTGCGTCACGGATTGGTGGAGCACATTTAAAACGAGTGTCTCCATCCTTAATCTCTTCTGCCGAAAAGGCTAGGTAATGCGGACATGTCTCAACAGTTACACTGTCACCATTACTTTTTGCTTGCTGTATGGAACACAGAAAAAATGACATCATAAAACATATGTTCAATTGTCAAGGACAGGAAACTGTTTTAACACAACAAAAAGGGGATGACGACCCAAGGTCAAAACATGCAATTTGATTTGATTAACTTCAAATATATTCAACTTGTATCTATATTTCACCAGCACTGCAGTAGTACCAAGCATCATTCCCATCCCTCCCCCAACAAGGTTCTGTTTCTATACACATGCACATGCACTCCATATAAGGAAATTATAAGATACCTTTAAAAGCTGGAGGGAGGAACCTGCATCGGACAAATGAACAACATGAAGATGAGCTCCTTCTGCAGGACCACCAATCCTAGTGTCTTTGGACACTGTCAAGAGCTCTCTAATAGCTGCCTCCTCCCTGATTAAGGAACAGATACTATCACTACATATAAGCAGAAATAGATAGAAATCATGCCAATCAAACATATACAATGAACTTATATGAAGATGCCACAGGGAAGCTGTTTCTTCATAACATGCAGATGAAAAGCAGGATCTTGAATCCAAATTGATAATAAAATATTTGAAAATGTTGATAGTTCACTGAATGACAGAATGACTCAGCCTTTTGAAAATATGAGAGTATATTTAACTTCTAACTTTTCCAATGTCTCATCTAGGACAGCATACATCAAACAGAATAAAATGAAGCAATTTTGGATAGATATATCAGCTGAAACTGAAAGACTTGCCAGTCATACCCATTTACTAGTTTACAGAATAAGTCAAAAACTAGTTATTGGCCATAATATTATGACACTATCCGAAAATGCATAACTCCATGCCATTTCATAAGTCAAAATGTTTAAACCCTATGTCCAACAAAAAAACAATCTGCTATGTTTTAGATCTACAAGCAAAGTATGGATAAGAAAATATAGCTTTATACCTCACTCACTTCTACACATAAATAAGTCATCAGCAACATTTTACCATGATGGTGGCCTTGTCTTAAGGTATGTCGAATAAGATCGAGGGTCATCTGCATCATCTTCTAAGTAGCTTTCAGAATCTTGGGGAATCTCTGCATGTACAAGTAAAGGTCTTCTATATTTTGCCAGTACAGATAGTCCCTCCTACGAAGCAAAAAAAAAAAAAAAAAAAACAAAAAACAAACAGCTTAATATACAGAAAGAACGAAATAAATGCAATCCAAACAACATAATCGCTTCATCCAACCCGAAACAATTCTTTGTCTAGAAGAAAAAAATTATCGCATGAATGAGAATGAAACCTTTAGAAAGTCGTCAAATATGAGAACATTGACTGGAAAAGAAGAAAACAAAGAGGTAAATGCATAAAACAGATATGCAGCATTGATTGAACTAATCGGTTGCAAACTTCAACCACAATTTTATTTGACCAGATCAGATTTGTTGTATGAGAAATTAAACCATGCATCAAGAAGCAGACCTTGATATGGCTGGCATTGGTCATTGGGAAGTCATTGATCCCAGAAGGGCACATAAAAGACTACAAAACAAGAACAGGAAAGTTGTAAGATACAATTAGATAAATTAAAACAACAGAAAGTACACATGCATGGGCATATTATCTAAAGGGTCTTAAAATTGATGGACTAGTTAAATTGCAAGCTGTTAACGAAGTACAAAATCCATCAAATCCCTCCATTGATATGGCATCACTTCTATTCTGTAGCAGCAGATAAGTGCATCCGCTAATTAAATAGTTCCAAAGATATATGTTGAGAGCATGGTAGAATACCATACCATGATTTCAAGCAGCAAAACATCGTGTGTAAGGCATAGATATGATTTTTCGTGAAAGTGCATAAGAAACTATTATTAATCCGTGTCCTAAGATGCTTACCTACCTTCAAACCAAGAGCACCTGCACTTAGGAGAGCTTCTAGAGAACTTGCATTGAATGCATTTTCAGGAACAAGGCCTCCCCAGAAACCTGGTGATATTAGAGTTTAGAAACAGGTCCGTAAAACATTGTTAAACTGAGGTGTGGTTTCAGGAGCATACCGACATCAACATAGATGTTCTTCTCTGCAGCGTCAATCTATTACGTGCATGTAAAATACATTAGGACAAAAACCAGGAGTTGGTAAACTACATCCGCAATTAGTAACAAAAAACCCCATAACACACATAACTTCATAATAAAAATAAAAAAACAAGGGTAAACGGACTTGAATGGAAAGCTGCCTAAGAGTGTGGAAAAATCAAAGAGCACAAAGATCATGGCTTAAGTTTTGCAAGATTATTTTCCACTGATATTACTGAATGGTATAAACATAATAGTCCAATCTCCCTTAACCCTTTATACCTTGAGTCTCAGAGTTTCTGAAGAAACAGTCGAGGGAAAACTATTCAAGGGCATGTCAATCAATGTTGTAATACCACCTGTAA